GGAACCCCACTGTAAGGATGCTAATCTGCCTTTGTCATGTGCATCTGATCTAATGTGGCAAGTGCGGCGAGGTGGGTTGAAAAATCGACAAAGAAAAACGCGCTTCTGCACTTAACCGGAAGTACATTGCTCTACCTTCAGACTTGGTGGATGCTAAAATGTTTCAGGGTTTCAAATAAGAAAAAGACACAAAAAAAACTCCATCAGGGGCTATTATATACAAAGCTGCTGGTGTGCCAGCCACTGAACTACCGATTGCTAGGGCTAGAAAATTATTTAGGGGAAATATCCTCATATGCTTGCCCTGTTCTACTCTTCCCCTGGAATCTAGTGTTGAGGACAAAATATTAGGCTGAAGGGGTTTTGGTCTGAGCCTGCGTGACTCTTCTTGCAGTCTCGCACTTAGATTCAAGCGTGTGCATCCTTCTGTACGTTAGAATGAACTTGCCAAGGCCTATAGCAACTGCTGAGTTAGATCTGTGTCGTGGGTTGGGAAGAGGGTTATCTCCCTTCCCTATAGGAAGTAGTTTCTGCCAGCTGCAGTGCTCGAGGCAAGGGCAAGGTGCCAGAATGGCTGAATTTGCTTGAATCAGGCTGGACTATTGAATGATTGTGTCCTTTGGCTGTTAGGCAGCACATATAGGGAACTTTTAGTTCCTGAGCTAGAAGCTGGAGTGTTTGTTTGCTATGCCCATGGTAACCAGCTTCTTTTAGAAACCCTGTTTTCGCTTTTCTAAAAAAAAATAAAGAAAATAAGATAAGTCATTGCAGCACATCTCCCTCATCGCGGCACATCTGCTTCTCTGACCTTAGTTTTGCTAGAAATTTTTCTACAGCCGTAGGCTCGCCCTGGCCATTTCCAATACCAGTTTGAAAAAGAGCCGTGAGGACCTCACTGAAGCCAGTCATAGCTCCAGTAGCAGTGCTAAAAACTTGTCCCCTACTAGCTCTCAGGTCAAACTGACTTCTCGCGTTTCAGGTGCTAAGGAGTCTGCAGGTAGAGACACAACACTGTCCTCTTTTCCCAGGTCGCAACGTTATATTTCTGCTGATACTTAGTAGTGAAGTGTCCTAGTAGAGTCTTGGCTAGTAGTTACTTCTGCCAAGCACGAGCAGTGCCGGGCCCTGAGGGGTCAGCTCTCCATCAGAGGAGCTGTAACGATGCTGAGGGAACAACCACTGGACAGCATGTAGGATGGAAACCTGATGGCTGCTGTCACACAGATTTTTCTCAAAGCAACAGAGAGTGGTCCCAGAGTTGCTGTTAACATTTCTGCACACCTTCCCTACTATCTTTCTTTTGAGCCAGCAACTTATTTCTTCATCTGTGTCTTTCAGTAAATAAAAATGGGCAGATGAATCTATTTATACATTTAGCTGAGTTCAGCACTTTGCTCCAGCTGAAGCAAAAGTTTGGGGGGGGGGGAAGAGCCTCAAAAAATTTGAAATTATTCTTTTCTTTGTAAAAGCTTTTAGTTTTGAATGAATACGGGGGAGGCTTGGGAGACAACTGTTTTCTACAGTGATGATCACTACCTGGTGCGGTGTGCCGTAAACTTCTCCAGGCCTCTCCCCGTTGCTTGTATTTACTTATTGTGCTTACTCTCTTTATTTTGTTTTGTGCCGATCCTGACTCTGCTGAATAACCACCCAGCCAGTACCTCCCCATCGCTGCCTGATTTCTCCCTTGCGCAGACCCTCTTCTCTGCAACACAAAAAGCAACAGAAAGGGGTTTTTTCCCCTTACATTTTTTAATCTCCGAGGGTTTGAGATCACACGAGCCGGGTAGCTGCCAGGACTGTGTTTCTGGAGTAGGAAAGAGCTGTTCACACTGGCACTAGGAGGACGTAAGCCCATGAGGCCCTGCTGGGCTGCCCATTGCATGGAGCCGTGCCACCATCTCCAGTGCAGCAGATCTGGCGTTGGCTGTGGTGTGGGTTTGCCGCCGATGCTTTGGCAGTGGGGCCCTGCACAGGGACTGCTGCTCGCTCTGGGTTTGTGCCGCTTGTCCCCTGTTCTGCTTTCCATAGCAGCTACAGAGCGTTGCTTTGACCTGGTGGAGTGATGAGAGGTTTCCCAGAGGAAGTGGCAGAAAGCCTTACTATCTGAGATGTTTAAAAGATGACTGAATTTAAGACTAGAGGATAATAATTTTGCATTAGCAAGAAAATGAGTGAGTGATCTAAAATTAGTAATTCCTGCTCCTTTGCAATACATAGCATAGCACAGAAAGTTCTGTAAAATGTTCTGCAAAAAACCCTTGGAAGCTACTTTTTTTCCTGGTGACTGTCAAATGTAAGTTTTAGGTACAAATACCTGCACAAAGCCTTCATTAGACTTTATTTGATAAATACTGCTATCCAAAGCTGTATTCAAAGATGTGAACAGCCCTGTTCAGCCTGTCAAGTGCTTTGTAATACTGTTAGGATTCAGTGTGCTAGTTGACAATAGGGAGTCCTGTAAAGAGGAAATACTTAGAGTAATGCATGGGGACGGTTGTAGCATAGTCCTTTCAAGCTTTTCTTATTATAGGTAGTAGGTAGGTTCCCTCCCTCTCGTCTCTCTGAAGGACTGACCTTGGGAGCAGAACTGTTGTCAGCAATCAATGTTATACAAACAAACAGAAACTTCACACCATGTCAAAAAATTTAAGGCATTAAAACGAAATATTTCATTTTCCTGAGTTGTTCCAGCCCTGAATAGACCCTAGTTTTCTCCAATTTTAAAACGTTTACTCTGGACAAATGCCCTTCACTGTCCATCTGTGTGACTCCTTAAACAACCAGAGGATGCTGAATGACAGAAAGCAGAGTACGCTCTCTCTGCTTCAGAACAGATACAGCGAGGCATTTGCTCTGATAAAAATATCAGCGCAAAGCTGGGCGCTACCCAGACCAGGCGTGGGTTTATGGAAACATAGTAAATCAGCTCTGCAGCACGCTTTGTTGGTATATTCAGCCTTCTCTCTATGCCAAGCTATAAAATCACCGGATCAAAGTGGAGCTGGGCCCGAGTCCAAACTTCCCCCAACTTGAGGGCAACTTGGATCTATATCCCAATGCTGGGATTTGGCTCTGCCTCTAAATCAAGCTCTTATAATCTCTTAGGAAAAGTCAGACCCATGAATTATCCACTAAGTCACAGAAGGGCAGCCAAAGCTGTCTCTGAACGCGCTTGCTCTGCCTGCCCTGCATTGCCAGTAAAGAAATTTAAGTGGAGCCTTTCATTAATCCTGGAACGCTGATCTTAGCCTTTGGTTTGGGAAGAAGCCATCCATCCTTAATCTGCTATTTTAATTTCAAAATTGTTTTTCTTCTCCTTCCTTTTCTCCGACTAGGTGTGTGAATTGAGACACCAGGAAGGTAGAAGCCATCTCCAGCAGCCTTTGCTAGGAGCCTTGCTATACCTTACCTCCTTGCTCAGGGGCAAGGGAGAGATGGAGCACTAGGGTAGGAGAGGCTTGTACGTTCTCTGGAGTGGCTCTGGAGGCTCTGGAGCCTCACTGCTCTCCGCATTACCAGGCACTTGGGTTCATGCAACAATTTCCCTCTCAGCCTGGATGTGCCACCACCGGATCCATAGCAAATGCTCCGGGTGATTGCCTGGCACTTGCATGCCATGGTGGTGCAATGCAAGGGTTTGAGGTCAAGTTTTCCAATAAAATATGAACAGGAAGCCACGCTCACATCAAGAGTGAGTGATAAATCAACAGAAAAAGGAGACTGCAATTAAGAAATGAGATACAGGATGGATGAGGGTAGAGGGCCCCAGGGATCAATAGAGCTGTTTTGTGTTTAGATTGAGGTCTTCTCTTTCTGACTTGTCTTCTGTGACCCCAAAGCTTCATCCTCTTCCACCTTATTACTGTATTATTACTTGTTACAATAATGACAAAATGTCTCATTATTGCTGCTACCATCAATAATAGCAGCAGTTTATCAGCAGTGTTTATTAAGTTAAATTCTATGCCAACATATATCTTCCCTTCCCAACACAATTCATATGTGATCTCAGATAGTAGCAGAGGAGACAGAGAAAAATATATGTCATTTTACTGTATTTCAGTAGTTCCATTGATTTGTTTCAAATTAAGTCCCTTCAAAGAGGTTTAAAGGCTGTATTCCTAAGCTAAGCCTTTTTCCTGCTGCAGAAGCTAATTTTTGGTGGTTTTGCACTTTGTGTCTGGTCTGTCACAGGCTCTCTGTGTCCACCCAGTTTCCCAGAATTGCCAAGCCACCATCCTAAATATTTCACAACCTTTTCCTTTCCGCGCCCCCCCCCCCCCCCCCATCACTTAGTTTGCTTTTGGAAGCAAATATTAAATATTGTTAGGAATCCTGAAATTTAACAATTTCTCAGTAAAGACCTCCTGGCAATACCCAAATAGAGATTTTTGTGAATCCTGCTTTGAAGGACTATGGTGTTTCCCCACCTGGGAACACCCAGACTAGGATGTTTCTTCCCTGGGGAAGAGAAGGCTCTGGGGAGACCCTATAGCACCTTCCTGTACCTAAAGGAGCCTACAGGAAAGCTGGAGAGGGACTGGTGACAAGGGCATGGAGTGACAGGACAAGGGGTAATGGCCTTAAGCTGAAGGAGGGGAGATTTAGATGAGATATTAGGAAGAAATTCTTTACTCTGAGGGTGGTGAGGCCCTGGCACAGGTTGCCCAGAGCAGCTGTGAACGCCCCATCCCTGGCAGTGTTCAAGGCCAGGTTGGATGGGGCTTTGGGCAACCTGGGCTAGTGGAGGGTGTCCCTGCCCATGGCAGCTAGTGGAGGGTGGCCCTGCCCATGGCAGGGGGGTTGGAACTAGATGGGCTTTAAGGCCCCTTCCAACCACACCAGTCTATGATTTTATGATACTTCCTGAACATTCTGAAGTGCTGTGTAACGCACCGAGGTAAGCAGCTTATGACCCCATTCATAGGCAAAACAGAGGAGTCTGATATTGCTTCCAAAATGCTTTCGTTTGCACTAATAATAAAAGAATTCCTTACTTGATTTCTGTTTGTCCTCCTGCTTTTCGGGCGATTTGAATCAGTTCTTTTCCATATCTCTCTTCTGCTTGTGCTCTGTTAAAAGAAAAGTTTATTCAATTTCTCTTAGTAGTACCAGAATCACATTTATGCAAATTTTGTAATTGCATCCGAGGTACAAGACCTGAGAAATACTATTTCTTTAATTTCTGTCTCAATTCTAATGCTGTTAGTTACCTCTACAATATTTTGGGTTAGCTATTTCTAGAAGAAATGAGAGATAATGAATACCCATCTCCATAGGTTTGATTAGACTATGGAGTGCTATGTACAATTTTGTCCCCAAAAAGTTGGATTCAATTGGAAGAATATGTGTACAGAAGTGTAGCGAAGATGCTCAGGAGAACAAAAAGCCTCTTTTGCAAAAGAAACCTAAAATGTAACATCTGACTCGATGGATCAAGATGAAGGCTAGGATGGGAATGAAGAGTAGGATCCAAAGGATTTCGATTTAAATTTTCATTTAAAGAGAGGTTCTGAATAAATGGGAGCCAGGAGTAGCAGGAAAACCTCTAACCGTTAGAAACGTGAGGTGCTGCTTGAACAGCTGCAGCAGAGGCAGAGGGGGAAGGAGCCTTGCTGGTTGTAAGGTGAGGCTGTGGCAGTTTTATGGAGAGGACAATATGATGTGATGTCTCACCTAATGGGGAACTGTAACTAGTGACTCAGGAAAGTGTTTGTTTCTGTGGTTAATAAAGAAATACAATTTTTTTTTTCTATTTTCCCTTCCCCCAACTCTGGAAGAAATGTCTATTCTCTGTTTAAAAAAAAAAAAAAAAAAAAGTATTTGTACTAAATAAGTTATTTCCTTTCTCCTGGGTGCAAGACTGGGGCGGAACCGAGTTTTCAGCCTTTGAGCAGCTGCTGAAAGCTATTGAATGGTCAATAATAAACAAGGAACAGATAGCCTGGTGCTAACAGTTAGAGGGGATTTTGTTCAGGGTAACTCCAGTTCTCAAAAAGGGTTTCAAAGTATTTTAAACTGTTTTGAGTCTGAAACTTGGCACCTTAGAAAAACGAATTCGTTGTTCAAAAAAGGAATTTTGATGCAGGTGCGAGGCCATGCAACCCCCCCCGGTTTGTCCTTATGTCCATCTTCCCACTCAGCCTCACCGGGCTTTATTATTGCTATTTGCTGAATTCAAGCAGCTTTTCTCAGGGCTGGTCTTTCAGTTTTGCAACACGGAAGCTGTCAGGGTGTGTCTCTGGGAATATCCAGCCACCCTTTCGGCTGTTCCTCTGCGTCTGGTGGCTGCGAGCACCTTGCGTTGTAGCCAGCTGTACCAGTGGCTCTGGTGTAATTTCACTGGTTTGCAACCATCTTCTGTGACCTGAGGCAGGCTTGGTCTGGGGACTTTCCACCAGTCCAAGGAGATCTGTCAAGCTGGTGGCATAGCAGTGCTGGGCGGACAGCAGCGGACAGTCGCCGCAGCCCAGAGCGGAGCCTGTTCTTTGCCTCTGTCTGTGTGCCTAATGCTGCACGTGCTGTTAGTTAATTGCTGTCATCCTGCACTAGAAATTGCTGCATTTTAGCGGGGTGTTCCTATGTCACTGCTTTGCAATTCCTCCTAGAAGAATGAGGTCCGAAATATGGTGATAGGTCGCACAGAGGTACCATTTCATTTCCATGTTAGATGAATGAAATTTCATCAGAATGGAAATATACTCCAGAGACACATAATGCTGCAGAAGCAGAATTGATTATTTTTTCTTCTGATTTTAATACAAGAAACATTTTTGTGTTGGAGACTTTTTGCTTTTCACATCTTGGTGCTGCCTTTCCCACTTTCCGGTACTCTTGCACACAGCTTCTAGGTTTCCCTGCAGCCATCAAGAGCTAGAACATATTTTGTATTTTAAATCTGGGGCTTTGTTCTATAATACAATTGCTGTCTCACTCCCCAATCTCTTGGGTCCTTCTCTGGACTGGGCAGAGTTATTTGTGAGCAAAATACCTGGACGGAAAACTGATAAAATGTTAGTGTAGCCAGGGCAGTTGGTTTCAGGACTGAGGGTAGCTGCTGCAGGAATCCTTGTTGAAATTTTGGCATGAAGCCCATGATATGGGCAGCCTCTAGGAACACAGATTCATCCCAGGATTTGATCTCCTCCTAGGTCATTCCCGTGAATGACACGAGGATAAGCTGAAACAAACATCTTCCAGAAATAAACTGGAAGGAATACCTTCTTTCTGCTACTCAGTGCCCACTGTCTTTTCTCCTTTTCCTCCTGCCCCAACACACATGTACGCACACAAGCACATGCACGTATGCATGCTCACTGGAATGTTTTGGGGGTGTGTAAAAGTTCATGGAAACGTTTGTTCTTGTAGCTTTTGGATCTGCAAAATGATTGTACGTGTATTTTTTCTTCTTTGTGTAAAGTCCTCTGTGCCTCCACCACAAACCAGGAAGAACCTTATCCTGCAACTTGCAGAAACCTCTGTGATATGTTTTGGGAAGAAACACAGGCGTATATAGCAGATGCATGCTGTAGTGCAGAGCCTGCCTGAAGCCTGCAATGTAATTCTGATCTCTGTACGTTATGAGTCACAAAGGAGCTATTTTAAACAGTGAAAGCTAAGCTACCATCAGACAGATGTGACTTCAGGACTGTGTGACATGTGGCAATAAAATATGCTTCCACTGGTGGTCAAGAAAAGCAATTCAAGCAGCTTCAGATTTCAATGGGAGACTCTTCACACTCTGTGAAATAGTCAACTTTCAGTTTGATAGCTCACATCCCCTTGAAGGTCCCAGTGCTCGAAAAACAGCCTTCAGTAAACTAACCTAAACCCAGAAAACAACAGGGACAGCATGGGAAGAAAAAGCAGGCTGTTACTGAGGCAGGCAGAGCAATATTCACAAGGAGACGGTTCTGAGATGAACTGCTCCGAGATTACCTGCTGAATATATAATCTGTATGGTGTGGTCTTTTCTACAGGTCACGTGTGAGCGTGTGTGCGCCTCATGCTACATGGTGAAACTGTTGAAACCCAGCCACTTAAAACCAGAACCAAATTTCAGATATTTTTTTCTAAGTCAGAAGTACAAAAATGAATGGCAGAGGAGTCAGAGCAGCTGTGTAATATTTATTTTCTCACCCACAAAAGTGTCAGCTGTCCATAGCTGTTGTTGAGGGGCACCCAAGAAGCATGTAAAGGATGAACATAAACTACAACATTGTTATTCAAAGTCTAGTAAGGACAGCGAACAATGTGGTCTGTCTTGGGTTTCTGGGAAAGGCTTTTGGTAGCATCTTATGTAACTTTGTCCGTATTTGAAAAATGCCCCATTTCTGATAGTTGCAGGAAACTGAAACAGGACCTGTGGCAACAACATGTTTAAAGAGAAAGAAAAATGCTTCCTGGAAAAGGGGAAACGTGGTAATGCTACTTGTTGGGGATGTATGTGCTACCATGTAATGCTGGGCCAATAACTACCTGAGTCTTAACGGAGCTCTGGAATTCTGATTCTTTCACCTCTCTCTTCTCAAATCTTTGAAATTTCTGTTTGTTATCTGACTTCACAAATCACGCCAAAAGGCTCAAATTCAAATCACTCAGGCGTTTCTATGTAAACTAGTATCCCTACCAAATTCAAAAACATTCTACTGTTCCTTCCCAGATGCGAAACAGGAGAGAAAATGGAGGCTGTTCACACTTTTTTCTACTCTGATTTTCTTACCTCTGCTTGAGCAAATCCTCCACATCTTTGCACATCTTCCTCCCATCCAACAGCCTCTGTACAAGCACTTCATAGCCAGTGTGGAAGGTGAACTCCTTGCACTGAAAACAGAAAAAGAGTTGATCTGATTTGTGCGCATAGTTTGCAGGTTTACCAAACGCCTGCTGTCAGTCATATGGAGCAAATTAACTTTCTGGAAAATCCAATTGAACCTTTAGATTTGCCCAGAGCAATGGCTGCTGGGGCAGGGCTAAGGGCGCAGGTATGGGTGAGGTTTCTCCAAAGTGAAAATCTGTAGAAGTTGTTATTAAATCAGGTTTGGTTTTTTAATACTGAAAAGTGAAGTGGCTCACAAATTTTGCTGTGTGGAAAGCAGCACTAGCTGTCTTTTAGGGGAAGTCACGTTTAGCTTTGCATGTGGGCCCTTTGCAGAGCAGAGATGTACCGTAGCTCTTAAGGACAGCATCTCCTCTTCCCATATGTTTTCTTAAAAGAATGGTCAGAGTCAACTCACTGCTGCAGGACACTCAGTAAGACAGTGACCCACTGTCTAGATGCGAGTGGAGAAGTGAAGAAATCTTGTGCTCGTACGAACGTGGATACACAGGGTAGTGGTTGTGCCACCCAGTCAGTGGTGGGTGATTTAGTGGGAGGATTTGTAGCACAGGGAGACAGTTTGCCTTAGACAATACTTGGGTTCTGATGTGCTGTTAGGTTTTCCTTTGGGATTGCTGTAACAACCCTTCACATTGTTTGAATCAGTCAGTCTGTGGTGTAAATTCAGCATGACAGAGGGGATTTTTTTAAAAGTAGAAGGTAGGCACGTGGAGAGCTTAGGAATGCGGACAGTGGATCTGCAGGGAATTGAAAGCCTGTGTTTCTGAGACGCTTGCCAATGAGTGCTGCTTCCCTTGCTTTTGCATTCACCACCCAGTCTCCTGTGCAGTACGTGGGATTCGCTTGTGCCTTTTGGTATTTTTGCATCCTGTCCTGCTCTATGACCCCCCGTGGCAAATGGAGCCAGCCAAGGCGATCTGTGATTTCCAACCAGCCACATTTGACAGGTGAGGTCATGGACCTGGGTGAAGTTTGCTGCCCTGGAGCCGGGGCTCTTATCTCCTACCAGGGCTCTGTACCCTCTCTGCCTCAGGGCCACGTTCATCTGCTGAGGTCTAGGACTGCCATCCCTCCCCATCATGCAAGTCCGTGTGTCAGGCTTATCCCTGTCCACGTGATCCATCAGCGCACACCCCCATACATCTCAGACAAAAATATCTGAGTAATGAGAAGAAAAACTTCATCTTGCACTTCTTTAATCCTCTTCCCAGCTTCCAGGTTGCACTGCAACAATGGTAAATCAGAGTCACAACGAAGTCAGTGCTGCTGAGGAAATGCCGGGAGCCCAGAAAGGGAAGGGAATAAAGTTGTTGCATTCTCCAAGCGTGACAGTGGGAGAGGATTTCTATTCCTGGTCTATTCCTGTGTTCTATTCTTGGTCCTCCCACTGACTCATAACAGGATCAGGACGAGCCATTTTTACTTTGAGAGCCTCAGTTAACCAGTGATAATGTTATTGAAAGTGTAGTGGTGAATGTTATCTGAGCTTTATGTTATAGCATTATGGTAAAATCACCGACTGCGTAACCGTAAAGAGAATGAATCTGTTCCTTCCTTCAAGCAGTTTGTGTACAATACAAGTGCTTATATATGAACTGAATACAGTTTATACATCTATCCACTGTCCCCGAAGCAGCTATCATTTAGTAAATGCCTTTATTGCTTTCCACCATGACTGTGAAGAAGACAGCTGTTAAGATTTCGGACTCAGGAAGGATCCTCTGGCAGGCAACTGATGGACACTTGAGCTTGTGGCTTTGCTTCCTTCTTGGTGAGACTCGAGAGGAATGGGGCGAGCTCTGGGGATGAATGGTGGTGGCCGATGGCAACCTCGGTGCTGCTCACCCAGGCCTAGGGCTTCTGTGGAGATTTGCAGACCTGGGAGCAGGTTTTTTCTGCTTCTTAAAGAGCTAGGATAAATTTCTGCAGACAATCTTTGTAAACCTACAGGTTGTACTAACATTTCCAGCACTACCATTTCTTGACAGCAGTAATTTCTTCTTCCCTAATGGACACTCTTATCACAACCAGTGGGGAGAAAGGAAAGACAGTAGGATAATGGTTCACAAGAGACATAGACAAATGCCTGTACCAGCAAAGTGTCTGCACTACAGAGCCAGGTAAGGTAATAATGTAGACAAAAGAATATGGAGACAGTGCAATGGATCCACTGTTAGCACTGTTGGAATCACAGGAAGATGATAGAATTACATATGCTCATTTGATGCATATGATCACCCCTTAAGAAACAGGATCTCAAACCCAAAACGTCAGTTTTCCTAATGTTTCCAAGGGCAAGTTACACACACATATCCCAGGGAGGGATTCTGCTGTGAAATAAATGAAAAGAAGCAAGTTTTTGCCATTCGTAGAGGGAAGTAGGAAAGGTTCTTGATAATACCCTGGTGATGGACTTGTCACCTCTCCTCTCTCCCTTTTTTCTGAGGACATCCCAATGGCAGAAGGCATTGCTGCTGTAAAAAAACCTCTCATAAATTGCTCCCTCTGCCTGGCAGAAACCACTCTGGCCAGATGCTCCACAACCAACTCACAGCCCAAAAATGTTGATTGTATATCTCCAGATGCAATTAACTACATCCCATAGCTGTGTACACAGCTTCCTTGTCCCAGAAATGCTGCCCAGAGGTAAGTGAAAATACCACATGGGCTTGTATCACCCCAGCAGTCAGGCATACTGCCACAAGCAACAAACGGAGAGTGATAAGCACGCCGTAAAGTTACTCTGCCGTTTCTGTTCAACGTATCCTTTTGTTCAGTAAATGCTAAAACTCACTTAGTGAATTCCCCCACCTCTTCTACACTGGCGCAGTTGCTGTAATGAAAGATTGGCAAATTCTGCGTGTCTGAGAGAATCACTCTGCCTTGGTGACCGTGAGAATTAATTTTGCAGCACATCAAACAAGGTACTCTCACAGTCTGAGTTAAGGATGCTCTGTAAGCTACACTGCCCTGGGTAGTCTCGTTGGAGCTCTGCAAACAGGCTTGCCTCCAGGACGTGCACCAGCATTTTTATTGGCACTAATGCAAAGGGAACAGGTTAGTGCTGCTCCCTACTGCTCATGACAGATTCCGTGCTCCATCTTTTTGCCTTCCTACTTCCTTACTTCAATGCATTTAGAAATGCAAAAGCCAAATTTAGCTCATTATAACTATAGGAATATTTTAGCCCTTATAGAGGGATTTGGCTCCAGCTAAGAGCAGGTCTGAAAAGGACTTCCTACCACAGGCAGTCAATAAATCTTTCTTCATTTTGGGGGATCCATCTCAAAATTTGCTTTATTGTCCTCACTGTGTGTTCCTGAAGAATGTGGAAGCCATATTTCAGAAACCATGGCATCTGAAATCTAAACCAGGGCTGCCTCAGCCTCCCAGGCAGTGGATCTGGCTGTGGTCTAAATAGCGTGTGCGACTAGCATGTCACAGGCTACAGCAAGGAGGGAGAGGAAACGTAGCCAGGTGACAGCCTGCGTTTCGACAACTTTTAAGCCGCTATGGTCACTTGCCCTGCAACGTTGCTTCTTAATTTCCAACCACAATGTAGCCATAAATAATTGAGGCCTAAGTTTACTTACACAAACATTTTCCTTTCATTTCAACAGCCCTTTTTCTTCTTTCACATGTTGTACAACTGCATCGTCTCAACCTTTTCTTGAATCCAAACGAACATCCTTTGCCCTTTCCTGGGGCACTGTTTTTTCATTCCATTGATTCCCGTGTGTTCTTATAGTACCTGCTCAAGGCTGAATAAATCCCTGTTGGACAAGGGTGATGCTCTGCTACTCTGGTAAAGTCTAACTGATGCTCTGTACCATGACATTAATGTCTGCTCTCTAAGAAACACTTCTGATACATCAGAGGATCGTATTTGCTTTCTTCTGCTGTCAAATCGTACCAGTAGCACTTAATTGATCTACCATCTATTGATATACCTGCAATTTTCCTCTCCTGCAATTTTACTTAATGAGGTCCCAGAGTGTATTGGACCTTTTTACTACTGGTCTTTTACTCCCATTTTGCACTTTGAAACATTAATTTTATCTGCTTTCTGTTACTCTCAGCTTGAAGGTTATCAGATATCTCCTGTACAATATTTCATTCTACCCATTTGTTTCAACAACAGCTATTCCCAGCCCATCCTTAATGTCTTATGCCAGTATCTGCAACAAATATATTGAACAAAATCAATCCCGAGACCAGCCCTCGAGAACCTTTCCTCCAGTTCAGGCACGAGCCACCGGTGTCTCCCCCAGAACAGTATCTTTTCCTGCTTTACGGTTCTTCTTCTCCTGCTGTTTGTTCAGAGTCCTGGTTTGGTTTTCTTCTCTGGTTTCTTAAGGATTTTCGGTGTAGCACCATAACAGACCTCACACTTTCTTTGTGAAGACAATCAAGATGGCAAGACTGTACCACGTTAAACAACTATCTAGCCTTGATAAGCTCTCTTGCTTTTATTCTATTTTCCTTTTATCCTTTTGTGTTATAGTTAACATTTACATAGAATGGTTTTGTAAAGACTCTTAAAATTGCACTACTCAGCTAGTGTTTGGGCGCCTCTCAGCTGGGACTTTGTAATGATTATAAGTACTAATGAATAGTCAGAGAACTATTTTATTTTTTTATGATGTTAGAAAAAATGCTTTAAATAAATAATAAACATATTCATTACATGGGTAAAAAATAATTTGTTTATGACAAAATCTAGGTAGTTGCTTGGAAGAGGGTGATTTGAATCATCACTAGTAATTTTTCTCATTGCCAAGAAAGTGATTCCGCTTAGTCAAAGCGTTTGCGACTGTGAAAGAGGATTTACTCATTGTTATTTTAATAAAAAGGATTAGTTAATCTGTGTTGTCCAGCAGACCTATAATCACTTGTAAGAAAGTGCTTGACAAAGGGATTTTGGTGTTGCAGGCAGATTCATATTGTCCTGAGATTCTTCCATTAATACTTTGCACGTCCCTGAGCCGGGGGTTTTTCTTCTCATGGGGAAAATCACAGCTAATGGAGAGGCAGCATCTCCTCTCCTCTTCCCCTTTACAACAGTTGCTTCCCTCCAGTGCAATGAGCAACGCTACTCCTCCAGAGATGAAAGAAGTGTGAAAGCGAGTATACGGCTGAAAAACACAAATTTTATGCTCTAGTTTAACCAGAATAGCTTTTCCTAGCATACTTGAAAGGAGGCATGGAAGACTGCAGGCAGAGGTGTTGACAGTAAGCACACTGGGATGTGCTTTCTTCTTTCCATTTCTTTTTTCCTCTGAGGCTTAATGATGCTGCTCCCTCACATTAGCACTTTTCTAAAGAGATGGGTGCCTTGGGACCGTGCCATCCGTCTGGTAGAAGTTTCTCCGTAGGCAATCACGCAGGTAAACATCGGGAGATAATTGTGAGAGAGATTATTCACGGCTGGCTCTGAGCTGCCTTTGCAGCCATAAGGGAGAGGCTGTGAGGATTTTGGTTTGGTAGAAGGCTGCAAGCTGGAAGACTGATGGTGTCAGTTCCCTGGCCAGAGGGTAGAAAGTTCAGTATGAAGATAGCTGGGGGGGGTGTGTGTGCCATAGTTTCTTCTTACCTGCTGGTGGCACAGAGCTGAGTAACCTTGTGCTAAGTCTTGTCTTTAGCTGACGATCAGCCGTACAGCACATTTCATCTCTGAGCCTTGTGCTGCCGGGTGCTCAGAGAGTACTGCAAGGCTTTTTGAAGAGCAAGTGTCTACGTTTTAAAGTCACCGGGGTACTATTGCAATAATATCAAGTAGGAAAGTCTAAAATGCTTTGCTGGTTACTGAAGCATGCTTTTGGTAAATAGCTGTTACGATGGACTGAACTGAAGCAAAAATACCCAGGCTTGCGTGCAAAACGCTCGCTAAATTGTATACCCTTGCATGTCCAACTACTAATATTTAGAAAATTAATGTGAACTGATCGAGTCATTGCGGTTGTGCTGTAGGAACTGTGGGCTCTTCTGTTGTGGCTGGTTTTCTCGGAGCGTTTCTAACCCCATCCTGGGACCCGACTTGCCCACCGCGAGCTGTTTTTAGAGGTAGTTTACATAGCACAGTTCACTCCTCTACCTGTTCCTGCAGGATAAGCTGCCTTGTCA